TAACTTGCCATTACTCCCTACTCTGTGGGAAAGGTGGACTTCATTTCAACAGCACTGTGAAAACATTCTCCAGAGCAAGTGAAATAAACGGTCTCAAGTATCTCCCCCATTTCATTTACAGGGAGGGGGAAACAATTTGCTTAGCTGTCAGGCAAACATAAGGAACTTTCCATTCAAATAAATTACAGGTACAACCTTATGCAACAAATCTGGGAAGAGACTTTTTTTTTTAATTGTTACTTAAATGAATGTTACACTCAAGTTACTATTTATGAGCAAATGTGAAAAGGCATTTGCCGATAATTGAGATTATTGATCTTTTTTTCAATTATTGGCAAAACTGAAAAATTATGATTTATTACTGTAACTATAAATGTTTTAAAAGAAGTCTCTAGCCAATATTTTTTTAAAGAAAACACTGGCAGAGACCTCCATGTAGATTCACAAAGATGGACCGAACCACACAGTAGATCCCTCTCTGTTTATCTCAAACCTTTTAACACATACTCTCAGAGACAGACTCCATTGGGCTCTCAAGGGGTATGCAGGGCAAGAGAAACATGCCATGTGGGAGCATTTAGAAGCACAAAGTCAAAACCAAGAGACAAATTACTGAACTAGCTACTGGCCTCACATTCCCCACTGGTGTGACATCATGACCCTCTGCAATCCAGATTACACAAGAATAATGAATTATAAAGTGAATGATCATGACATTAAGAACACCAGAACATTATGCTAGAATAAAATTAGTTTATGAAAAAGATTCCTGGCACAAATTAAAAGTCAGGTTACACCCTAATGTTATTCCAGACTTCTGAAACAAAGAAAAAATTCTACAGAACATTCCGGACATTATTTTCAATATAAAACACTGCACGATGTCATTTTGTGTTACACAAAAAAAAGAAAGGCAAACAGGTTAGGAACAACATGACGATGAGTTAAAAAAAAAACATTCTGTGAACTATTCCTCAACACAAAGATGATTTGCATTAACTTAACCTATTAACTGCCAACCATGATCTGCTACCTGCTGGGGAATGTGGCAAATGATCAGCACCTCTTGCCTAAGAGGAGGTGCACAGAATTTAGTAATGATGCTGGTATGAGACGGCCTATAATAAAAAGCAGAACTTGCCCTTTAAACAACGTTTCGGTTTTTTTAGTCAGAAGATCACATGACATAGTGAAAGCGAAACAAATCTAAGGGAAACTGATGACATTCATAAACTTGGCTGGATTTCTTTAAAAAGTACCCTGATTTACCTCAGAATGCAATCCCTACCACAGAGATTTTTTCAGGGGAAGAAGCCCAGCTCTAAAACATTAACAAACAAGTTTGACACAAAGACATGATTCATGAATATGAATTGAAATACGTTCAAAAGCCAACACTGTGTACAACTATTTTATACATTGATGATAAGAAATGTTTATTGAGCACCAAATCAGCATATTAGAATAATTTCTAATATACTTCTATTCTGAATATTAATATTTCACAAGGATCATGTGACACTGAGACTGGAGTGATTTTAAATAGTGATAATATCATTGAGCATGACTTTTTAAAAACAAGTCTTGCCAACCCCAAACTTTTTAAAGATTACATATTGTTAAGTATTTGGCAAACCCAGCCCTATACACCTGCAAACGGGCGTATTTAAATACAATATTATTCTAGATAAAACATAATATCTGCATCATATAACAAAGAGGGGCGTCAACAGTTACACATCAACATGACATCTAGAAACATTTTATGACTTAGATAGCGAGAATGTTCACTCAATCATCTAGAATTAGGTTTAATCCTATTAAGTTTTAAACTTGATCCTATTCATAAACTGAGTAGAGACACATGACTTTACTGTTAAAGTGGGACATTTTGTTGAGGAATATTTAAAAAAAAGCATCTGAGCAGGTGATTACTGACAAAACAATGAATAGCCTATGCTTATTCTACAGCCATTCTCAAAATCAAATCTAGTCTTTCTTATTTTTTCTTAAATACCCACATCAGCAATAGCCTAAGCCTCTAGTACACATTCAACACCAAAGCAGATGTGTGTTCCTTTTTGATTGATTTAGTGATATCAATATTATTAAAGTGGCCATTTTTTACAATGACTCACTCTCTTTCTAACACTTCAGCTTTTTCCAGAGCAAATTTTTTGCAGTTCAGGGACCATAAGAAACTCTATTTGAGAAAGACCTGATGGCAAATGTATTAGCCTAATAAATGAAATCCAGATATAAAAGTAGGCTAAATCGTAAAATGTAAACACCATAGAGCTCAGAAAGTATGAAATATCACCTACAAGTAAATATGTGTCCAGATTTTAATGATATAATGGAACAAAGTCTCAAAATCTTTTGGACTCTAAACCTGCTCAAGACTCAAAACCTGCTCAAGTACCCAATGCTACACAGACAACTGGTTAGGAATCACTGACCTGTATTTAACCAAAACTCGACGACTGAAGTCCTCCTTTCCATGCAAATCAGAGTACAATAAAAGTAGTGAAGGAATTTAAATATCTAGGTCTTGTTTTGGATTCAACCTTTACTTTCAAAAAACATGTTAAGAAAACTTGCAGCACGCTAAAATACAGTTTGTCTGCTTTTAGACATATTAGGAATACATTGACTCATGATGCTGCAAAAATTTACTTGGAGGCAATGATAATTCCTCATATTAATTACTGTATTTCTTGTTGGTCACAGATGAGTGAAACAGCAATAAAACCTTTAAAATCTTTATATAATCAAGCTGTTAAAGTATTAGACAAAAAGCCACTGAGATATCATCACTGTCTGATTCTTGAAAAATACAGCATTAACGTTATACTTTGATAACATAATTGTGTATGCCAATGTGCGATTAGTTTTTAAAATTTTGAATAATATTGCGCCTCCTCCCCAGAAAACTTTTGTCCAGTTTTGTTCTGAACAGATGACTAGGAGTACCAGGTCCACGAGTTGAAATTATTGAGGACTGCCTAAACGTGGCTCGGCCTTTGCAGCCTTCTCATTTAAAGGCATCAAAGAATGGAACAAACTCCCACAGAGTCTGAAACTTACCTTAAACCTGGAGGATTTTTCTTGCAATACAAGGAAAGTGCTATTGGAAAACCAGTCGTGTCAGCATAGATAATTGTGTATGTAAATATAACTTTTAGTGATGTTTTATTGTAGTAATCTTGGTATGATTTACTTGGACTGATGGTTGTAATGGGGAATGGTTGAATGAATTAATTAATAGTTGTATTTGAGTGACTAATTACATTTTAAATTGTATATTTTGTATGGTAATTCACCTGCTTAGGGGCTACAGATGGAAACTAGCTTAAGCTAAATCTGGTGCAAAGCATCTTTAATTTATGTTTTTTGCACATTGTCCCTGTTTAAATAAAAACTATTAAATAGCTAAGTAAATTGAGGTAACATCAGCTCAGACGTCCAAGTCACACCAAAAGACAGATTCTGTCTGGAACAAAGTACAGAATTTGTTTTTGCAAAGCTTCAAACAGGTCATTACCTAGGCTATGTTTTGAACCCAGAGGCTTGACTTGTTTCAAACTAGCCAATTGAAGTGCACAGCAAGCCATGCACCTTAAAAATAAATAAAAACCTGTAGAAAAAGCCCCATCAACCTAAGGAGAAACTGTTATTTCAATGCGTGGCATTGCACAAAAATGTATAGCCTACGTCTTTTTATATTGTTGTTCAATGTTCATTAAATAAGCATTAGCTTCCAAGCTAATATCACGCAAGACGCTATCAATCAAGGTATTAAAAGGTATACAATAGTTCAGAAATATGAACAGGTCAGGTACTACAGGGAGTTGATTAAATATGCGTATACAATACTATAATAATAAATGTAAAGATCAAAAACATTGAGGTAACTGGTCCATGACTTTTAAAGTCCCATACTGAAGGGTGATAAGGGCACAGCCACTATTGCCAGAGATGTCACACCCAAACAACCTAGTGACTGGTAAAAACTGTGACCACTCAGAATTAAAAACAAAAAACAAAGTAGCTGACATAACAGATTCTGCTCAAGTCAGCCTACATGCAGGCTTGCCTTCAAGGTTAATATGTATGCTATAGATACAAGGACATCTGAATCTATATTTAATAATAATCAAACTACCGGTACTAAGAAGACAGAGAAGCACATCTTTACAGACATATTTCATTAATGGTCAAAAAAGCAATATGGTTTACTAAAGATAAACTTAAATGGGCTGGATTGTTTTGTGTAAACATAAAGGAAACAGTTGAGATGCAGAAAAGAGGGGAAATGTATGTAGTGCATTCATGTGCTAAATTTTTACCATTACATATTATTTAGGTGAATATAGGAGGCTCAGAAGTCCCTGAAATATTAGTAGAAGTAAAATTAACACTTTTCATACACAAATGGAAGTGAAACATTCCATGAACACTGCATATGTTTCAGTTCTTGTAAGAGGGTCCAACAGAGGGTGAACAGAAAAATTAGTCATGTTTAATTAATTTGACCTAGTGAGTTTACCGTGCCATATTTTGCCGTTTTACCACCTAAATGTACTTGCTATACTACTTTATTTGCTGAAAAAGAAAAGCAATGTAAGGGACACATGCTGTACTCTATTCATTAAAAGTGTTAAATGTCTTTGATTCATACACGTAACGTTAGGCTACACAAGCAGAACATAAACGTTGGTGCTTTGAAAATAAACCTCCACATCAATCAAACGCGCGCAACATCCGCAAAAACGCCCGTCTCGCGTGATCTGTCATCGGCTGGGTCCAACTAGCAAAATAATTATAACGACTGTCATATTCAACTGACATTTTTCATAAAGAGTGAAATATGCACAGAGGGACTTCTAATAACTGACTGTAGAACAGTAACAAAAGCTCGAGCTTGCGTAGAAGATCATTTCTAGATTTCAAAAACGAGCAAAAGAATGGATAAATAGGAACACAAATATACACATTACCTCTCGGTGACTTTGTCCTCCACAGTCTCGTCTGCTATCTCGTGGAACGCATTAATCGCCTGTTCCGATACACCCTGTAGTTCCTCTGAAGCTGAAGCTGCTGGTGTCATAAACCCCACCCTCTGGACATGCAAATGAACAGGATATGATGTCGTTAACCGTAGACCCCGCCCTCGTGAGGAGGGATGAACGGGATATGATGTAATGAACAGATATGCTGCTAGAGATAGGCTACCATCCATAACTTGTGATGTAATGTTATGTTTAGGGAGTCAGTGTTGTCAATGGTATGACTTTAATAGAAAAATATTGTATTCATAACTGCAACTTTTATACACAAGTTTGCAATCTTCGTGCATGATGTTACCTCAGTGTTGACCTTAAGACTACAAAGTACCAGACATGTTAACAAAAAATGTTAAAATGAAGGTATAAGACCTCAAATGCTTCATAAATGCTAATTAATTTTTTAACCATTCAAAGGCAGTGAAAAACTGTCAACGAAACTACCCTATATCATAATACAAAACTATAACATATCACACACACTGGTTTTAAAAGTGCATGAAACGGAGGTTGCGTTAGTCTTGTCTTCTCTATTGTGACGTATATCCAGTAAAACGGCTTCTCGATCAAGAAAAATGAAGGATGGATGGGACTTTTTTCCCCATCGGGGATTGATTCATTGGACCATTGTTGTTTGGTATTGCTGTGATGATCTCATGTGAGTGACAAGTTGTCATGCCCTCGCACCAGTGAACACGTCATCAGTGAAGAGATGTCGTTGCAAGAGGGAAGGGAAGTTATTTTGATTAAATAATTTGAAATAATAAGTATTAATTATAATAATGCATCTATAAATCATTAATTACAAATACTGCCATATCCCAGAAAAAAATATAGTCAATTTTGATTTTATGGTGACTTTAAACTAGCCTGTTGTTTAATGTGGGCCCCCTTCTTAAAATATTAAAAACAGATATTTTATTTTATAAAGTATTTATACTGTGTAAGAAAAAAACGTTTCCTAAATTAGTTATTAAAATGTTTCTAGTTTTATCTAATTATTTCTAGTCTACCCACTAGTAATGATAGCAAAGATAGCGTACATAAATAGGTTATTGATGCCCCCTATTGTTGAACTTGAATGAATGGAAAAAAAATATATAACGATACCATATACAGACAAAATAACAATATAAAATTCAGACAGTTTATACAAGTGTGCCTAACAGATTCTAGACTAAAGACTATAACAACTAGTCTACTGTATGGTTTTGAGTTTCTCCAGAAAGTGAAGTACCTACTTGTCGGGCCTTCTTCACTAAGGAGGTGTTGTGGTTACAGGAGAAGTCCTCAGTGGACTGCGGAAATTTAAGCTGGAGGGAGTGGGCTACAGCCAACTTCCTGAAGTCAACAATCATTTCGTTTGTTTTACATTAAGAAATTGTTGTCTTTGCGGTACAAGGTCTCTCACAACCCCCAGAACACACTGTAACATCCAGTTACGGACTTAGAACACAGTTTTGAGGACCTCTATAGCGTTGTGAGATGAGCACTTTCTGTTAGTCAGGAAATCAAGGATCCAGTTGCAGAGCAGTGTTAAGTGCAAGAATGGAGTCATTCACTGGTAGGCTACGTGTTTAACCCTTTCATGCATAGTGGTCACTACAGTGGACAGCTATTAAAAAAGCATTTTCTTGAATTTGCAAGGGTTTTGATGGCAAAGTTGCACATCAATCTCTTCAGTGGACCCTGGTGGATCATCCTATACATTGGAACCAAGTTGCAAGCCGTTGTGTTTCGAGTTTTTCCCCCTCCAAACCAAGATGGCCAATGGTCAGTCAGACATGCCAAGTTGCTCCGGAATATCCACCCATTCCTTCTATCCTAGGAGACTCTTGTAGGTAAAAGAAATATTGCAGCATCAAGCAATATCTAATGAGTCATATGACAGTAAAATTTTCCAAGTTTTGATTTTAGATTGGGAGAAAAATCTGATTAATCACCTGTCCACTATAGTGGACCTCATGCATCAATGGCTATATTTCAGCTACAATTCATACTTATACTGTGAATATTGTTTTTGAAAATACTTAATCTGCAGTGACGTTTTTTTTACTGTAAATAAATGTATTTGTATTATTAGAATGTTAATTTCATTGACATCGAAAAAAGTTATGTGATTACATAATTTATGTGACTTATGTATTACTTTACTCATTTCATCAAAAAAATAATCTAATTATGTAATGCATTACTTGTTAAAACAAAAAGTTATCTGTTTACGCAATGAATGTTGCTTGTAATGCATTTATTTACTCGTAACATCAAAAAGTAATCTGATTACGTAATGCATGTTACTTGTAATGCATTACTTTACTCGTAACAACAAAAAGTAATCTGATTACGTAATGCACATTACTTGTAATTAATTACTTTACTTGTTAGATCAAAAAGTAGTCTGATTAGGTAATACATGTTACTTGTAATACATTACTTTACTCGTAACATTAAAACAAATCTGATTATGTAATGCAAGTTACTTGTGACACATTACTTTACTCGTAACAACAAAAAGTAATCTGATTACGTAATGCACATTACTTGTAATTAATTACTTTACTTGTTAGATCGAAAAGTAGTCTGATTAGGTAATACATGTTACTTGTAATACATTACTTTACTCGTAACATTAAAACAAATCTGATTATGTAATGCACGTTACTTGTGACACATTACTTTACTTGTAACATCAAAAAAGTAATCTGAATGCGTTATGCATGCCCCAACACTGCTAATTTCAGATGAGATACGTATCGAGGTTTTCTCAGAAGAGGCCTATGCTAGAAATGTGTCTATCTTGAACATAATCAGAATTATCAGCTAATAAAGGTAAATTGACATACTCTGGCACACTGGAGGGAGCATCTGAGTGGTTTCCACTGTTGTCCCTTGACAGGCTGTAGAAATTTCTGATGGAATCACGTCCTCATGTTCTGATATCAAAGATACACGAAGTGCAACTTGTATGAAGTTCAATTGCATTTGCAATATTTCGAATTTATATTTTTTGTATATATTTTATAATTTTCACATGATTTGATATAATTGTATTGATTAGTTTGTTAAATACACATACTTTATCTGTTTGATTATTGTATTATGTTTAATATAGTATCTCTTCAGTTTAAACCATAAATGCATGCTGTCCACTCTAAGGGACACCTGAAAATCTCTTAAAAAAAAAAATCAAATCTTGTTTTTCATGCCCTAAGAGCAATAAAAACACATAGGGAAAAAAAAATCCTGACTGAGGTTATCATAATTCATGCATGAAAGGGTTAAAGTATAATGATGTTTAATGAAGAACTGAAGTCAGTGCACACTGCACAGCATTATGACAAAAGTGTCTTCACATGACCCTCTCATTCATACACCAGAGTGGCTCTGTCTGTAGGCATCATGGGAGTACTGTAAATGTCTGCATTATTTAGCCAAGACCTCTACTTTGGAGGGGAATTGTGAGGCTATGACAATCTTCTTACTGAAATAGCATGTGACCAATGATGACATCATCCTCACAGATGGCAGGTTTCAACATGTTTGTATCCTAGACATGTTCTGGCTGTGGTAAACAAACTCCCTAATTTCTGGAGTGACTGGTATGCAAGGAGATGGAAGACTAGTCATAAATTAAGTAGGAATACTCTATCCTCCGGTTTCACAGACCAGGCTGCTTCAGAGTTTACAAGCTCGTGTGCTCGCGAGGTTACAGCCTTTTTTTTTACAGTCTGCGCTGTGGGTTACAGTCAGACCCTCTTGAGAGAGAATTAACGCAACAGAAGTTCTTCGCTCCTCCTTCTCTTCTACTGGCACTCTGTCTGGGAGCAATAGCCTAAGTTACAGTTACTTCACAACATCGTGTATCTTTCCAATGAAGATCAATGGGAGGACACAGACATTCACCGAGGATTTTGAGCGGTAAGTTATTCTACATTTGTAAACAACGCAATCTAAACGGTTACATTACAGTCAGCAAAAGGGCAAAAATAACAAACATTTGCGCTTCTCTCGACGACCTCTATCCTCCACCCATTGCTATCAGTTGAAACAGTTCTTCACCGCGGTCATGTGACATGTTCAGGACTTTCTTTAATAACAAGTCACATATACACTTCTTGTATATGTATAAACTCCTTGTTTATATGTATGCAAGTAATTACTCAGCGACCAATGTAAAGCGATTAGGTAAAAATGTATTCTTAGTACTTTCAAGTGCCCATTTTAAATGGCAATGATAGTAGATGTATGTACGGGCTGGGCGTTTACATTTACATTTACATTTAGTCATTTAGCGGACGCTTTTATCCAAAGCGACTTACAACTGAGGACTAAACCAAGCGAGTCATCGTGAAGAGGCAAAAGCAACGCAAGAAAGTGCTCAAAATACAAAGTTCAGACATAGCTCGGAGTAGCATAAGCCAGGCAAGCGAGGATTTAGAGGAAAGGATTTTTTTTTTTATTTTTATTTTTTTTTTATGTTAAGTGCTCCCGGAAGAGATGAGTTTTCAGTTGTCTTTTGAATGCTGTCAGGGATTCTGCATTCCGGATGAGGGTGGGGAGATCATTCCACCAGCATGGAACCGTGAATGAGAATGTTCTGGAGAGTGATTTTGTGCCCCGCTGTGATGGTACCACGAGCCGTCGCTCATAGACCGATCGTAGGCTTCTGGTAGGGATGTAGACTTGTAGTAGTGAGTGGAAGTAGGAGGGAGCTGAACCTGTGGTCAATCTGTAAGCAAGCGTCAAAGTCTTGAACTTGATGCGAGCAGCGAGTGGTAGCCAGTGCAGAGAGATGAGCAGAGGAGTGACGTGGGCCCTTTTGGGCTCGTTGAAGACAAGACGAGCTGCAGCATTCTGGATCATTTGTAGAGGTTTAGTTGCACATGATGGAAGTCCAGCCAGAAGAGCATTGCAGTAATCAAGCCTAGAAATGACCAGAGCCTGGACGAGAAGTTGTGTTGCATGCTCAGTTAGGAAAGGCCTGATCTTCCTGATGTTGTGCATAGCAAACCTGCATGATCGAGCTGTCTTTGTAATGTGGTCTGTGAAGGTCAGCTGATCATCAAAGATTACTCCAAGATTTCTGACCGACCTTGATGGGGTGATTGAGGAAGAATCTAGCTGGATAGTGAGGTCGTGCTGTAGAGACGGATTGGCAGGGAGGACGAGAAGCTCAGTCTTTGCCAGGTTGAGCTGCAGGTGATGTTCCCTCATCCATGCCGAGATGTCCGCCAGACAGCTTGAGATCCGTACAGCTACTGTGGGATCATCTGGTTGAAATGAGAGGTAGAGCTGGGTGTCCTCAGCATAGCAATGGTTGCATAGTAATGGTTAGGTAATGGTTTACATGTTAGGAATGATCACGCGGTGATGAGCAACATATAAACGTGGACCTTTAGGTCTACTATTTACTTTATAGTTTACTTTAAGACTAATACGACGAATCCCTTACTAAACGTCACCTAACATGTCTAGTTAGGCTATTTTAGATTTTTTTTTTTAGGTTTAATGTGATGTGTTAATGGAAGAAATTTAATTTTCAAGAAGTTCACATTTGTTTAAAACAATTAGCCCACTTTGTTAGATATTAAACCATAACCAAACATTACAATGGGCTGTATGCATAACTTCCGCGTTTGATGCAAGGATGCTCTTGCGTTTCCGGTTGGGGAGATTTAAAGGCCATCTTTCAATTTAATTGTATAACTTAATTTATACAGAATCTTGTATGAAAATGTCAATTTAAAAAGACATACATAAGAATACATATGTTTTACAACACCCACAGGCAGAAATTCAGGAAAAAGTGTACCTATTCTAAGCTAGGCTCAAAAAACCGCCCTTTTCCAGAGAACGCGTCATATGACGCAACGACAGGCAAACAAATAGGCGTTGCTGCCCTGGTTCTCAGTGTGGGTTTACGTAGTATGAGAGGTGGTACAGAAAATAGAGCTTGTATTTATCGTTATAACGTTAGCTGCTAGTTGAGTTGGTTTGAATTGTCACAATGGTGAATTCTTGTGTTTGTTTTGGATGCAACCACTCCAACTTGTCTGGTCATCGGGTCCACCGATTTCCAAACAAGAAACACAAAGATTTCCGTGCTTGGATACGTTTCGTCCAGGCAAAGAGAAGCAATTTCTCTGCCTCCTCGGTGACAAGACACATGTGATATGTGATATCAAGTGGTATGTGAAAAACACTTCACACCGGATGGGAACGGGCGGTAATGGTCAGAAATTCGGCGGGAACGGGTGGTAATGGTCAGAAATTCGGCGGGCGCGGGCGGGAACGGGTGGTAATGGTCAGAAATTCGGCGGGCGGGAACGGGTGGTAATGGTCAGAAATTCAGCGGGCGGGATCGGGTGGTAATGGCATTTATCTGCATGCCTTACACCCAGTCCACTTGACAATAAAAGATCCTTGTAACAATGACTATATTTACATGAACAGCATATTCCCGTCCTAACAGGAACACTAACTGCTTTCATACACATACTCCGCAGTACATGCGAGCCCATTTACATAATGTCCGTCGGAAATACTATGGGAGTAGTATGACAGCCGGCTAAGTTTGGAAAATCTGGGATCTAAATTAAACATTTTAAGACGCATATTTGCTAGCATAGATGGTGACAATATACATGGATGCTTGAAAAACAACAAAGTCGACACCAATATTGCTAAATACGATTTATTAAAGATACTGCAATGTGATAAACATGGAGACAACGTTAGCCACAATTAGCTAGCTATAGCCTGTGGTCACTCACCAAGACACCTGCCCAATTCTCCACCGATTCTCCTCACACCACAACTCTATCTCTCTCCTCTGTCCATTTACCCTTCCCCTTAACTCTGCCTGACCCCTCTCTCGCCTAGGTGGCTCATAATTATACGGCAATAGCCCATCGGAAGAGTTGACATGAACTCCTACTGCAACCTCTTCAATGTCTGACTCCATTACGAAGAGATGAGATTTACCGGCCGTTGCGTCACGTCCGATCAGAGCGTTTTTGACAGCGGAAGTAATTTTACTCACAATTTCTTTTAAAAAACTTTTTTAATGCACATTTATGATTAATTTCTTCACGCAAATCGAGTTCCTACACCATTTATCTACACATCTATTCGCAGGGATCTTCAACTTGAAAGATGGGCTTTAAAGTCCCCGTGAACCGGAAGTTGCAAACGACTTTTCTCCAGTGTTGTGACGTATTTCCGAGAGAAACGGAATACTAATGAGGCAAAATGGTAGGCGTGACTTTTTTTCCCAACTAGCACCTGATTGGATCTAGAAAAGTAGGTGTTTTCATTCAGCCTGTCTACTGTCAGTTGGAGGGGCGTGATTACGGATGTTAAGAAGACGCCCAAACCGTGAAACCTACGTCATCAGGCAAGGTCCTCCAACGCAGAGGGGAGGGGAAATTTCTGATTTTGATTAAAGATTACGAAGCCAAAAAAAATTTTTGTGTGGATTGACTTGCATGGATGAATTGTTCACCACAAAACGATCAATTTAGGCAAACAAAGTAAGTATGGTCAATTTTGAATTCATGGGGACTTTAAAGCGGAGGAAAACCGAGGAAAACGGGATTATGGCAGAGTCTTCCAAATTTACTGTCCTCTCGTCTTTGAAACGAAACTTGAATACGTTTAGATGTAATTTTATATATAGTTATGTTTATTTAATATAATAAACAAAGAAGCATAAACAAAATGTTTTTGTTTTGTCTGTTTTTGTGACTAAAGTTTCTTTAGTATAGCAATAGAGTATAAAAACCAATATAAATTCTCGGTATAGCATTGGACTCTACGATCGGCGGAAGTAATCCAGCATCCTTAGACCTTCACCGGAAATACCGCCGTGCATAGAGCCCATTTCAACTATTTCCTCTGTACAAATTTAGAAAAGAGTGAGTGAGAAGATAGGCCTACATACACCGGAAACTGTATTGTTGTCTGTAAACGAAACAAAAAAAGAAAGAACAGGAAATAACATATCTGTTCCCTTATCAGTTGGTAAACATATGATTGGTTCCTTTTATAATTACTGTGTATATTCATATACATACAGTATACATTATGTCAGTAGTGGCAACAAGTAACTTTTTTTGGGTGAGGCAGGCTCTATTTTTGTTGGTGAAATAGACAATTTTAACATTATTGTGTCAAAATGTACCATGCTTCTCTTTTGTGTATTAAACTGTTTATATAATTTATATTATAGGGTCTAATCTCCAATGTTGCTTACTAGATACACCTGTTTTCTGGTCAAATATTTGCTCAACACTTACCTAATGTATTACCTAACACCATAATAAAAATTCCTTTCATTGCAATATTCTTGTTCTGCTGTGTCTGCTATTCTAGGAAGTATTGTTGTTAACCTGACTTCATTAGTAGCCCTTGTGTATTTCATGCTTGTCTTCACAGGGATTAACCCATGAGACTCTCAAAGCCCAAGCATGAACCAGGGGAGCGGTGCTTGTTTGTGGACCCCAGTGCCGCAGCACTGCCCTGCACCATCTGATCGTTACAAGCATGCTTCTTGTGCCCACAGAGGACATGTTTACTTACTAGGTGGTAGAGAAAAATGCTCACTGATAGATTTCTGGAAATATAATGTGGGTATGTTATTGTTATTTATCTGTGTCTGTCTGCTGCTTTGGACACTTGCACTTGTTATTGCACAGTATATGGTTCCTGGAGCATTGACTGATTGTAATTCAGGGGAAATGTCTATATTTTTAGTCTGTAATGAGTGGAACGAGCTTCCTTGTAATAGTGAAGAAGCACCTGAAGAACTGGAGGAACACACCATGGTAGCACATCAGGTAATTATAAATTAATTTATTCATAATAACAAACTCACAGTCAGGGATTGGGAGTTCACCAGCTATGAGGAACAATGTGGCATTGTAAAATGTACATTTTCATATATTTTCATTACATAGATTTCATAGATATATTTCTTGTAATCATATAATTATTTCCACTTTTTCTTCTAAGGAATTTCTCTATGTCTTCGGAGGAATGCAAGATTCATCGTATACTAACTCAAAAATTCCTTTTTGGGTGTTTGATATAGGTATTTTTATTGCATATTCAGTGGGGTCGACTAGAAAATTCATAAATTCATTCAAGTGGAATTTTACTACAATTTTATGACAACTTATAAGCATTACAACCTAAGAGTAAAATGTAATAGGTAATAGATTTTTTTGTTTTTTTTTTGTCCCCTTTTGCTTTACTGACAGCAACACTTGAGTTGGATAAATGCAGATTTTGTTTTAGCACAGCAATATGTCACTTTGTTGTTCACCTCTTCAGTTTTATATTCTCTAGTTAAAAAGTGCTGGATTAACTGGAAAACAGGGAGTGAAACTTTACAGGTGAACATCTTTGATTTTACAAGACTTACAGCTGAAACACTTGATGGTCCATTTATTATAGTAAACTGTTTTTGCAGGGAGTGACACCAGCAAACAGAAAAGGGCACAGTGCTGTCATCTTTGGGTCATTTATGTATGTCTACGGTGGATACATTGATATAAGAGGATCAACAAAAGAATTCTGGAAATTTGATTTTGGTGAGTGTTATTACATATTTATGCTTTTTGGTAAGCAAGCATCTCCTAAGACTGAATATTTACTGTTATCCACCTCGGGGATGATTTTTGTAATTTACATTTAGCTGAATGACTTTTCCGAACTAATTATATTTACTACATGTTAGATTCCAGGATGTGGTCACTACTAAGCAGTGCACAAGGTGGGCCTGGTCCCAGACATGGTCACTCAGCTATGACACACCAGGACTGTATGTACCTCTTCGGTGGCTTGCAGGGCCTTAGGGAACAGAAGGACTTGTGGAGCTGGAATTTTACCAGTCAAACCTGGAGCCGCATCAATTTCCAGTGAGTTTCTTTATTAACATCCATCGTTATTTTCTTCTTTAATTCTGTCTGTCTATCTATCTAAATTCCCTGGCTTGATGATCACAACTGATTCTCAGTAAAAATGTCATACTCTTCATACACGACTTCTAAACATTCTTTCATCATGTGAGCGGTCACATGCAAAATGATCCATTCAATTAAATTGTATTAAAAAAAGCTCAGTGTGATACACAATAGCATTCATCTAGACAAAACTGACATACTTGTATAGTAAGCAGTCAGTGTCAACAAAAAAGTTGAACAAAAATTAAATTTGTATGTAGAAACCATTTCCAGGATATATTGCCATGGTGAAAACATATATATAAACATTTTGACCTGTATGATTCACGCTTTGACAAAAGTTTTGGTGGCATTGGCCACTACATTGAGTTACTACATTTTGCATACATGCAATAGAGTTAAGATGCCCCATAAAACAGTTGTGCAATTGCACTTACAAGTTTAGAGAATGCAAGTTCTGTTTCAAAAAATGAGCCAAAGCAACTGAGGAAAAATTAATCAGAAGCATCTAAACACATATTCCTTACTCTGTAGTTCAGGTCCCCCCCGGCTGGTTGGTCACTCTGCTGTATTGTTCAAAGACAGCATGCTCATCTTTGGTGGAGGGGAAACCCAGAGTTCCCCTCAGAACAGCTTGTGGAGGTTCAACCTGAAGACAGAGACCTGGAAGAAGCTTGCATTGTTGCCTGGATCTGCCTCACTGTGCCGGATCCATCACTGCAGCATTGGCCTAGGCCAGAGTTTCCAGCCAACAGCACCAAACAACATCTTTTTCAGGGAAATACCCTACTCTCACAACATCAATAACAAGCTGAGACCATTTAAGAACAAGTGCCAACCGTCCCGCAGCACAATGCAAGAGCCCTGTATTGAGCTCCAGACTTTCTACATGGACAATAAGAAGTGTTTAGCAGATTTGAGTACTGCACTGAAAGACACTAAGCTAAAAGGAAGCTGTCTCACCTTTGAGAATCAGGAGGCTGTTCGCAAGGAGGGGAATAGTGGTGACCTGACAGAGGAAAACGAGGACGCCATGTTTCTCCATATGCCTGACTTGCTGTTAGTCCTGGGTGGTAAACCTCTACAAGGACAGCATATGATTTCAGTGTGGCATATGACAGTGGCATAAATCTGATGTTTTCAGTGCATTCTACTTTCTCTATGAGAAAAGAAAAGGCATTAGCAACAATACCCATATCCTTGTGGGAGAACGTTTGCATTAATGGAATTCAGTCATGTACAAACTCTTTACAGCGTCTGTAATTATTACCTTGAAGGTGAAGTTTGTCATTTTGTATGGCACATACCAATTTAATGTGTATAGACAATAATCAACAACTATAAGTTAGATATTTGTAGCTTGATTTCCCTGAAAAATCCACATACTTGCGCTCTGAGTTGCTATCAGAATATTGCTCTGTACAGTTTCATTGACACAGACTGCGATATTTTTGTTCTCTGTGTGTTTTTTAAGATCCACGGATATTGCTGGCAGAACAGTAGCATCATGCAACCTTTACACGTTTATTTTCTTGCCTTCACATTGTTTCAAGATGGCTGCACTTAAATGATTTAATAAGTAATGCATTACACGAGTAATGTGGAATCCATTCTCAACAATTAAAATTTGTTACAGCAGTAGTTATGTTATCATTGTTATTTATTTTTTTAGATTTAAAAAGTAATCTAGCAAGGTTTGCTAAAAAAAGTAATCTAGCAAGGTTTGAAAAACATATATTCCTAGAAAACTAAATCTGTAGCATGTTTGTATTAAATAAACTATGCTAGCTAAAAATTGTTAAAATAGTTTATAAACCATTTATAAATGATGCATATACAGTACATATACAGTCAAAACAAAATTTCAATTCAGTTGATATTCCACTGGTTTTGGCCATCCTTCTGTTAGACTGTCTCACAAATGAATTGGTTGAATAGCTGTCAGCTGTTAAATTTAAGTACACAATTAGATAATACCAATATAGGTCAACAAATTACCCAGCAATGCTTATTTTTGTTCAGTCTGTGGTGTAAAAGGCATGAATTAGCAATTAAAGAAAAAAAAACCCACTTAAGCAAAACATAGTCAGGTCAAAGTGTCTGAATAAATTTTGGTCCGTAATTTTTATACATTTTACTAGTAGTCCACTGTGAATAATTTTTGGGTATAATATGCCACAGTTTACTTTATTTTGCTATCCTCGCTTACATAAATGAACTATAGTGTCCTGCACCCACTAGTAAATAAATATACAAAATTATATCTGGTGTCTGAATAATTTTTGGTTTGACTTTATATATATATATAATAAATATCATACCAATTATTATAATATATTACAAATTGACCTGTACATACATTTCTACATGCATGTAGTATTTATTACCACTTGAGGGCGACAAAATATAACAGTCACACCATTCAAAAATTCAAGAAATTTACAAATCAAACAGATATTTAGCATATTCAACAATCACCTTAACTCTTGGGATTATTCGACACAGTATTTTTGTATATTGAGTATATTATGTGATCAACATTTAATCAGCTAATTCTAATTTAAAAAAAAAAAAAGTTTTAAAACAACGAAAAAAAAAAAAACAGATGTAGACCATCTCAGTATCCTTCATCCACAATATAAATGGATAATTTACCAAGTAACTGGTATTCCATTATGAAAAATGTGACAATTCAAAGACATTTTCCCATTGCAAGTGACATCAAAGAACTAAACAGAAGACAACGTGTCATCTTTAAATAGTATGGAACTGCATTCTGTTGGGAATTAATTACAATTGTTATATATTAGGACACACCACATGTATGGGTATGCTGATAATCTTTACAGAAGTGGCACAGAAATGATATATTCTGAAGTGGCACAAAGCCTGTATACTCCACAAAAAGGTGTTTTTGTTGTTTATTTTTGCAGAGAGATGGCATCAATACACAAGCAAAAGCAATGTTATTAAATTTCTTATATTCTTGAAATAATTACCTTTACAAATACAGAAACCAGAACCATTAATTAAATAAATATTCAGTAGGCTATATTATTAGTATATTAGTATATAGCTAGCCTACGCTATGAATATTCATTATATATGACAACATTTTTTAAGATTTTCTCTGATAAAGAGAAAAGCTCATAATTAAAATGTAAAGTCGAAAACGCCGTTTTCAAATGTATATGGATTAATGTAGAGTAGACGTATCGAGGTGCGCCTTGGCAATGTAACATGTATTTATTTTGTTGAAGCGATAGATGGCACCATATCACCTAAGAACAAAATTTGACATTGTAATCCAGCTCCTACCCGCACAACAAAAAGTCGATTAACACTGAAATAAACCGGTGTGTTAATTTGCCAAACAAAGCGACACTTGAGAGAAATATCTTAAAAAATGGTATCAGGCCTTGTAAATGCGTCTCCATCATTTAAGTGTATATTTTATAAATTGAATCTAAAACATTTATAATCATCATCAAACCATACAGGTGCTGCTTTATTACTTTTTTAATATTGCTTTATTAAAAAAAAAAAAAAACACTCGATGCATAAACTGACGTCAAAAGCAAAAACTGCCTGTACTTTAGATATTATGCTTAAATGTAGCCTATTGTTCTGCTGTTTGAAAGAAACAGATTTAAGTTATGACAAACACTGCAGTCTTGTATATTGACATTGAAAAGGTTAATGTGTAAAAGGTTGTATAGCCTATCATTTGCAGATCCAGTGGTCATGCAGCACGCTAAACGTAACTTGTTTAGCGTATATTAATCTCTCGCGTCCAGTTGGTTGGGCGTCCCACGTGGTTTGAAGTATAAAAAAGTTTCAGCGCGAGGTGCTTTAGTGTCGTGATTACACGAGAGAAAAGACCAAAGGACAACATCCCTCCTGAGGCTGAAGAAATGCGAGAGAACATACACAATTCACAACACTATTACTGAGAGAAGAGGAGCACGAGCACTTGACATTCGGTGGAAAGACAAACAGTGCAATTTTTGTCTTCAAACAAGAAAGAGTTTTGACTACACTGAACTTTAAAGGAATACACGACCAGTAGCCGGTTTGTTTTGATTCTTCACACAAGTCAATTTGTCAGTTACCCCGGAGATGAGGAGTTTTCGCGCTTTTTAACTGGCGTCAATTAAGACAATTATTTTTGCGACTAGCCATCATTATTAATCAATGTGTTTAAGTTACCGTGTTTACACTTGCTGTGAACGTTTCTAAAAAATGACCGCGAGCATGATGATGAATGGAGATCTGTCAAAGGAGGTTGTTGGAAGTCACGTTGCAACTCTGTCCTGTTTATAGATCAATTGAATTAATGAACTGATTTGTTTGTTGTATGGACACGTTATTTAAGAAAATGAGTATTTACATCCTCTCTCTAACCTGTTTAATGGCTTGCATGCTCTCAGTTCAGTGTAGTCTGGGAGCTGAGACAGTATCGCAGGAGTCTCAGTGTGTCTCTTGTGGACTTGGGCATTCGGATGATTCGGGGCGACTGGACACGGACTTTCTGGAGGCGGTTAAAAGGCACATATTGAACCGACTGCAGATGAGAGAGAGACCAAATATCACTCATCCCATTCCCAAAGCTGCCATGGTAACGGCGCTGCGCAAACTTCACGCGGGTAAAGTTAGGGAGGACGGGAGGGTTGAAATTCCCAACTTAGATGGACATGCTGCCTACAACGAGGTGCAAGAAGAAACGTCGGAAATAATCAGTTTCGCCGAGTCAGGTGTGTACAAGAAATAGCATGTTGCATGGCTACTTTTACCTTAATTGTAGAAGTATTGATAGTGTGTATTATTAGTTATGAAATCATATTATTTAAATCATTTTTTTTGGGGGGGGGGGGGGGGGGGGGGGGGGGGTATTTTAGAGGATGTAGCCTACTGTAATCATCAATCACTAAACATGTTTTACAGATCAAATATTTAATTTACAGGTCGAATAGTTATCAATACTTTGTACCAAAAGTATTAGCGGTTAACTACATGTACTTACCATAGGGTAAGGGTAGGGTTTGGTTTAGGGTTAGTTGCATGTAATTATGCCAAATTTATAGTTATTACTTACTATAGTAAATACATGTAACATGTGTAACAAGGACAGATTAAAATAAAGTGTTACCATGGTGTCAGTACATGCCACAGTGACCTCCTTGTCTGACTTTAGTACCGGTAAGCTGTAGGGGTGCACGATTCAGAAAATGTCACGATTCGATTCGATACCGATTTTTTGTCTCAAGATTCGATTCAAAATCGATTTTCGATTCAAAAACGATTCTCGATTCAAAAAACGATTCGCAGTATATAAATGTAGTTTACTTTTTCCTATGTGATTGATTGCAGTAGACACAATTTAAAAGAAAAAAAAACACAACAAATTAAATGTAGTTTGATATTACTTTATATGTTTTCATACAAAAATAAAAACTTTTGCAACTAAAAAGTGCAAAGTGCCAAGCTTTGGCCAGCTTACATTTAATTCAAGTTTAAAATAAAACTTAAATAGAAGCTTTTACATTTAGCTTTAAAGTGCTGTAGTCAGATCAAACAAACAATTATGCTAAATGTGGTTTAAGGACTACTTCAGCTACCAGGCTGACTGTTGAAATGTGAACTCGACTGGGCACATTGAACTTCCTAAAAATATATATTAATGTCATAGAACCCTTGCGAAATTATTTTAAATAGATTTTAAAAAGCCACCGCTACTGGTAACATCTATGGTTAGATTGATTTGTTTAGATCCAGTGAAGTCGTTCATAGGCGTAATTTGCGGGTATCTCCAGTAAACTAGCAGACCATTCAATTAGTTCGCTATTAAATAAGAGATCTGTTGTTTTTGAAATCAAGCTGCACACTCGTTGCCGCTGCTATGTGTCATGGATACAGTGTTCTCTGTGGCTCGCGCAGTCTTCACGATCGGACGCGCGCTTCAATCTATCGCCGTTGTGGAGACTCCGGTAAAATCACAAAATAAAAATGCTCACAAACGTGATGAACATATTCGGTTTTGATGAGAGAGAGAGAAAACACTATACGAGTGCGGTTTAGAACCCGTAAGCTCTGACACGCTTGGCAAAAGATCTACAGAACTCAAACATAAGATCTGCGGATCGATGCATTTATTCACGGGTTGAGCAGAGAGAGGCTGCACAGTTTGACCAGCGGGCGGCAAGAACTTGCAATGTAACTATTTATCAGACCGGCCCTCGCAGCCTCGAAACACTACCGGACCACCGGTAAAAGTCCCGACTCACCCGATTGCCACTCCACCCGTGCACGCCATTAAAAAAAAATATATGAATCGATTTTTGGAATTCTATGAATCGATTCTGAATCGGTAAAGATTGAATCGCGATTCAAATGTGAATCGATTTTTTTGCACACCCCTAGTAAGCTGTGACATTCAGTGGTTCTGTTCCTGTTCCAAAACCACTGCCTACTACCGTCATAGGGAACATATTTTTCAGTTTCATGCATTGGACTATTTATGTGTAGTTGGAATCTATCTATCTATCTTTAACAGATTAGATTTAATACTTGTAATAAAAAAGAATAGATTTAATAATTATAATCACAGAATGCACACACACATGCCTCTCTCTCTCTCTCTCTCTCTCTCTCTCTCTCTCTCTCTCTCTCTCTCTCTCTCTCTCTCTCTCTCTCTCTCTATCTATCTATATAGGCATGTGTGTGTGTGTGTGTGTGTGTGTGTGTGCATTCTGTGATTATAATTTAACCAATACAAGATTTTCATGACAAAGTTCTTGCAGTGATGCAGTAAATTACAGTACTACTGAATATTACTGAATTGCTTTAAACAAGTGTTGCAATTTTGCTACTGTGGGTCTATGAGGGTTAATGAGACATGCATCCTTAATCTAATATTTGTATGATTATGTAACTGGAGCAATTCGAATACATGACCCTCTCTTAACATACAATTAGAAATGCTGACAGAAAATAATGATTAGTTTGTCAAATGATGACCTTTGCTAGGAGGCTGTTAAGGCAATTAAAATCCTGGATCATCTTCGGGAACGCCAAAAGAGCATCAAAAACATGGCAATCAAATTATTACATATAATTTGTTAATAAGAGGTAAAGAACATGTCCACGCCTTTTGCCTTATTAACAGACAATATAGCAATACAAAACTTGTTAAAATGAATAAAACTAATGCCTTTGTATTTACTTCAAAGGAATTTATACTACTTAAATAAGTGTTCCCATGGTCATAGATAACCTGGAAATTTGAGGTAATTATGAAATGGCCCGAAAAGTAATGAAAATATAGTGAATGTATATTCAATTACTTTTAAAAACACTTATGCAGCAAGTAACTCTGTCTGAACAACTGTATAAGTCATGGAACTTCATTGGTCGAAAGGAATGGGAACCGTAACCCTGTAACTAGCATAGTTACCCATTAGTTTAATTTTTTGAACCAGTTCATCTATTATAGATCTGCGGTTCAGCTCAATTTACAGTAAAATATATGGAGCTTGTAAAGTGTTAAAAAACATGAATAACATTTTGCTCATTAAGTTCTGTAAATTTACATGAACAAAATGATATAATAGAAGCAGATTTTTAGATAATCGTAATCTGTCGTCATTATTAGGAAGGATAGCTAATTGATATGTAAATATTTTATAATATTTATTATAATCTTGGTTTGATGCACATTCAAGCTTCTTGAAAAAACTGGCTTCTTTATCTTCTAGTCTCACACACTGAAGCACAATTAGCTTGGACATTATCCGGACTTCTTGCTCCAATAAGAATGATCTGAACACACTCATGACAGCGCAACAAAAGAAGGCAATTATTGAGCGAGTACTGTGCGTTCTTGCTAAACCCAATATTTCAACATTGGGAACAAAAACAACAAAAGAAATCCCTCAGAATAATGCATGAGACATTTGAGTCGTTGTGGGTGACAGAGGCTGGGGTGGGGGGATGGCCTTCTTATATCCTACTCTGAAAATGCATTTCAAATATCAAAGCTCTATCGGGCCTCTTTTCAGTGTCCCCTATTATTCACGACACCTTTGAACCACTGAGCAGCAATGCATCATGAAACTGGCTCCCCGAACCCCCATCTGCCTCAAGGCCAGCTGGCACTAACCCCTTCAAGTGAAGGCTGCCAGCCAGGGCACAGCATTAGGACAACCCTAGATCTATTCTGCTCAGAGGTACAAAAAGAGGAATTTGTGAGGTATGCAATGTGCAAATCACTGCAGCTGCAGGCAATTGTGCTGCCTCACATGTTGCATGCTCTTCCCTGCTGTTATGCGCTATGATGGCAAGCCAGAAGGTGGCTCCTATCTCACTCCATGCTTTAGGAGAGCAATAAGAAGAGGACTGCCAAGGTACAGGAGAGCACGGCTGCCAATTTCAGGTCTCTATTGACACTGTCCTATGGGCCATTTCAGAAGTATTTGGTGTCCCGTAGCCACAGAAGCGGAGCGGTAGATGCTCGCTTCTCATTTGTCAGCGTAACCATTCGGACTCGCTGAACTCTTCAGGACCAGTTCAACACGGGGTATTAAGACTTCATTATTAGACATTATTCAGTGTGGCACAGTGTCCATAAGGTCAAAGAGCCAAATTGATCTCTTTAGAAAATCTTTGTTTTTTGACATTTGATCCAAGCAGGGAAATTAGAGCCTGTAGTGCTAACTGATGGGCAGACAGTCAAAATCTAATCAGGCAGTATGCCATGGCCTTGATCTTATTGATCTTCAACAAGCAGTTCACATTAAGCATTTAAAGCACGAGATTAATCTTCACTGAAACACAGAAACAAACCTAACGTCCATTTTCTCAAAAGTACAGTTGCCCGTGCTTATTTTGACAGTATTCTGCATGCTTGGAGTCTTGTAGGCTATTGTTTTTTTAGCTTAATTGATTGATAAACACATTGTTAAGTTAAGAAATGACTCCAAATCTAGAGTAAAAGTATTTTTATCTACCAATTAAATAAAAAATATAATTACCTGAAGTGGAAGCTAAAAAATGTTGTATAGCGTTTTACAATAACATTTCACTGTGTGAAATGCATTGATGAAATGAATATTTGTCATGCTGACTGATTAGATAATTTACCTTTTTACATGGTCTGCCAATCAACTAGCTCAGAAGATACAAGTTAAACTTGTATAAGTTATAACTTGTATCCAGAAGATACAAGTTAAATGCAGACAGTGAACCACAGGATGCAGAAGAAGCGAGCATACTGAAACTTAAAAAATATTTCAAATATTTCGAAATTAACGGCTGAACCATTCATTTCCTCAAAATCTAACTCATTAAGAATATATAATAATTGTAATGTTTTGACAGTTTTTATTTAATTAAAAGCTATTTGATGCAAAGGCAAAGATGTCAATGTGATGAAAGAATTCTGATGTAGGTAAGTGTTGATATTGATGGAGAGAAAGTATGCCACAACACATACTGCATCTTGTCTCCCTTTTCGCATTGCCATGGAGAGTGCAAAGTGGACAAAGCCTTGCCCTGTTATGGCTCGTTTCCACCGAACGGTACAGTAAGGTACGCAATTATTTCCGTTTCCACTGTCAAAAGTTGTGAATGGAACTACCAAAATGCCGAACCGTACCGTACCACTTTGTTGGTACCCTTCCGTTGGGATACCTAGCACAGTGGTACGGTACCTAAAGGGTGGAACTAGACTCACTGCAGAACGTTGATTGGTTGACAA